GCTTGCGTTAATATGTATTTGATTGCAGAATAGCACGTAAATGTGTATGTATGTGTGTTTATATATTAAACTACCTGGCGTTATAATGACGTTTACGGGCAATATCTTAATTTATTAACGAATACGCGGTAGTGGCATGATGAATCCATCGAAAGTACAAACGTACCTTCCAAGCCCTATCCCAGCATAAGTTCATTTTTTTCGTGAGACTACTAGGTTGATTTTTCCACTCAATTGAGTTTTTTCGCCCGAGCACGTCGATGACCTCCGTATCATCGTCCATCTCTCGCATTTCCATGCCCCCTCCGCCGCCTCCGAATATGCTCCTGCTGTTCGCGTTGAACATGCTAGTGTTGTTGGTGTGGGTGGCTGTGTGATTCATGTCGTAGCCCGTACTATCGTCACTATCTAGACTGTTTACTGGTGATAGCGAACTATGGAAGTCATCAAAGGATGGCTCACTATTGCTCAACCTGATATAGGTGTGGTCTCGGGGGCTGTCTAGGCTGGTTCTCCTGATACGAGAGCGCCCTCTCCGGGAGAATACCATTTACGTTTATCCACCACGCCTCAGAATGACTCGTATGTTCAGCTCATGTAGTGACTATGAGGTGTGTGTGTATACGTGTGTGTGTTTGTGTGGGTGGGTGGGTGGGTGTGTGTATTGTCAGTAATAGGAATACATATGAATTGTATCTATCCTTTTATCGGAACATCGTTATCTGCCATTTGCACAAGGGAGAAAGGTGAATTGCGATCAAATGCTCGTATTGTAAATATATATCTGAAGCGTTTTTTTATATAAAAAACAAAAACAGAAATCTGATATATTTACATAGCAATGTATTAGACATAAATACAATTACATAGTAATGGATTATATTTACATATATGTATTTATGGGGACATAAATACATATTGTCTTTTTAGAAAAATTTAGTCGTTATAATATTAAAAAAAATAAAGTTCAAGACATCAACAACAGCTGCTGGGGTTATTACTTATTTCTGGGGGGTATAGAGAATAATACTAAATATAAGTAAATACATACACAGCCCTGAAGCAGTATATTTAAATAAATAAAAACGGTAACAGTTAGTTTCGCATTTTGAAACCCGTTTTTATAACCACCCGTTTGTGTTAAAATTAAACGTTTAGTCCGCCGGGATTTCAACTGGGGTGGAAACACGCGTTTACGTTCCAACACACTTATTTAAAAAGAGGAGAAGCAAATATCATCTCATTCGAATAGTAAATAAATACCTTCCCCATCCACGGACTGCGCAATATCCTCCATTACAGGCTTATTGAAGTTTGTCAAGTTCATTGGCGGCATGTCTAGGTTCTCAAGGGCGCCCATAGGGTTCAAGCAGTTTATGCTGTCGATCACTGTTCGCACACAATACCGTACCTTTATGCGCGAGCTTTTGATGATTAAGGATCTAGATCGACGTGAGGAAATACGACTATGGGTGAGAGGTGAGTACGAACGAAACAGAAAACTCTCAGATGAGATAGTCATCAAGCACCATCTCAAGGCTGGCGAGGAAGGACTACAAGAGCTCAAGGATACTATCAGGCTGACGGGTATGGGATTATAGTGTGTGCGTATGGGCTACTGGTGTGCTGTAGCTGAAATTAGTGTGAAGACAGTAACCGAAAACCCGGTGAAGGCAGTTTGTAGACATTTTATTGTCCATGAGATGCAGTTGCAGTAATAAACATTCGAGTGTGGGATGTGGTTGAGCTAACAGCCGAGGCAGTTGTCTATGGTGAAACGGCAAAGTTATATCTTGATTATTCCGAATCACTGGCAATGAGTCGTCGCAATAGTGGACATTAATGATATGTACCTGGACTTACAGCGGAATAGCGATCAAGTAGTATCGATACACATTTCAAGAAAATATGCTTCTGCTGCTTAACTAGACCGGAGACGTCGTTCCAAGTTTGGTCCGACCTAAGACTGATAGGTCTCGTTAGATGGCTTTTGAGTTGTCAGACGAGATAGTTTTCAAGGCCTAGCTAGCCATGTAGAAAGAGATTCCCCAGGTGGAGGATTTCTGATTCATGGGGTGAGATCGCAATCAAATGTTAATTAAGTGCGATACAGAGTACCTGCAGGAGGTGAAGGATACTTTCAGGTTGTCGGTGATGTTTGCAGTGTGTTGTGCCCAGTGGTTTATGGTGGCCCAAGTCGCCGCTGTATATCAGTTATCGGCTCAGGACGCCAAGGTTAGAGAACAGAGAGAAGCAAGCGGAGGCAGAGAAGCAAGCACCACAGGAAGCTGAGACGCAGAAACAAGTTGTATCACGTAGGTTAGCTGAAGCACAGTAGAGGTCTGGGGTACAAAAGTAGGCCGTGACAATAAAGGAAGCTGGGACTGAGGACCAAACCGCAGAGGAGAAGGCTACCGCTCAGACGGTCGAAGAGAAAGCCGCCCATGAATTCAAGGCACTGGTAGCTGGTGCAGGAGACGCTGCGAAAGAGAAGAAGAAGAAGCGCCGCTCAGGAGGCACGGGTATTAGTTGATAGGAAGAAACCCGGCACAATTGTCTATATCCCAAGGGCGAAGGTGCAGTCTGCCTGGAAGAATGACGGGTGAACCGTTGGCACGTGAGCCGTCGCGTGATCGTGTTTGATCTAGTCTATTTGTATCTGATAAAGCGTCTATGTATTCGGCGAACTAGACCTTTGAAAACAAACAAGTCGATTGACATCACAATTGTTGAGACGTGCGCTGGATGTTGTGAATGCACTCGAGATTTCTCTCTTGACCACTTCTAAGTAATAACTAAGAGACCTAAGAACAATAACGATATACCGTAGCATTACACCCGGATTCCTGCAGCCAACAGTGGCCCGACATGCAATCGAGTATACGTATCAATCGAGCAGGTTGAAACGTGAAGGTTGTTACTGGGTGTTTTTGACCGCACACTAATGTACGATTTCTAAGTTATACTACTGTTGGTGACCACACTACACAGGGGTGCGAAACTCTATACGTGTTGTTAAGTGGAATAGGATTTTATGTTCGGTGTCTACAATGATCTCCACACTATGACAACTAGATTACCATTAACTTACCGGTGACTGATTTGGTATCTAACAAATCTGAACCCTTCTCTATACTAACTTGCGATGAAGACCATACTTAAATATACATGAGGGCTTCATGCGTCATATATATATATATATATGTGTGTATATATATATATATATATATATATAATTGTATTATATATTTCTAATTATATATATATATATGTATAATGTATATGTATATGTATATATACATGTATATATATATATAAATTAAGTGCACTATCTAGCCATAAGGTAAATGAACAATTTTACATAAACATAGTTTTGCGAATACTGAAGACATATAAGCCACGGGTTAAAAAAAATATCGATTGAAAATGATTACACGGTACACATTCGCATGCAAACATTTTGGAGTACAAACATAGAGCATCAAATTCAAATCTGATATTGAATTTCAACGACTCTGATTTATCAAATTTGCGAGCATCATAAATTTGAAATGTATTTCGTAAACTACATATTGACACATTGACTTCAACACTTGTAGATGAGTATATGTAAGAAAAGTTGCAGATGGGGATAGGTGATGTCATGCGCAGGCAGTATTCTAATACAAATACCCGCATTTATGCAAGATCAAAAACGATTCATGAGCTAAAAACAATATATCTCGCAGATCATTTGCACGCACCAACGTGAGAATCGCTTGGTGCATATATTCCGGGCAAACATGAATGAGGGTAGCAATCTATTACCTAAATTTAACCGGACTGCATAAAACAAATCTGCATCACATACATTCTATCATCAATATTGGAAGTATAACTGCTTAAAATGCTTGCTTATAGTTGTTGGTATGCAATCTTTCATTTATAATAAGGTGCTTGTAGGAATCTATTTTAAAGTGTTTATGAAATAACAGCTCACCTTGACTTGAACGCATAAATCGTTGTATTGGATAACAATCAGTGAGCCTATGCTGATCAGATTTTATAGTTATTCCATCTATTTTATGCCATTGGAACCTGATGCTTTGAGAACACAGGCCAAACACTCAAGCCTTAAAGGTTCACTGATGCAAGCGCTTTTAAAGAACGGGCTGGGGAGTTTGGCAGGTCATGCTACAATATGCGTTTTAACTTTTATGACGACTTGTACTCTAGTACGCGATTTGATACAGCAGGATGTTATGTGTTTTAATTCTTTTGACGGATTGTACCGAAGTACGCATACTGATGAGACAGAAGGTAGATATTCTTTAATTCCACATTTGGGCTTTTAATGAGACACTGTTCACCGACCCAAATCGGGCTCCGATGCGCCTTGGTGATTGATGACTCGCAAAGTCGTAGCAGCGTCAACATCAGACTTCGGATATATTGCCAGACTCGTTATCTGGACGTTTGGATTTACTATAGTCCCAGCTCCCACGAACATTCGCCACGACTGGGGCCAAGTAGTTGGCTTGACTGATGTTCGATCTTATACTCTCGCGTGCAGGCTTTGTAGCACTCTGTTCAATTTCAGATATTGCATGATAATTCTCATCCATTCAATTGTATCAATGATACCCCAAGCACCTTCTAGAACTGTGATGTAGAAATGCGCATAGTATGAATAATCAATGCGTGACAGAAGAGAGTCAAAATCGCATTACGTATTTCAATTCATGGGGCTCGCTACTGCGAATGATGTACCATTCTACATCAATCCCAGATTAGCAATAAGATAACAAGGGTGCAAGGTCACATTGCCACGGTGTGAATAAAACAACAAAAGACAGCCGGTAAGAACATATATTTATGTAGGTATTTAATCGAATATCAGTTGCTTGAAACATCAAAATAATACGAACACCCTACCGAAATTTTGGGCACCGCAACTTACAACTATTATAATCCTTAGATGATAGTGTGCGCGCAGCACTTGAAGTAACGAACAGCCTCATGACAAAACTACTGAAAGGGCAATGCGAATATATGTTTTACACTACCCAGACAGCACAAATATCAGAACAATTAACACAACCCTGTATGCATATGCAAATATCATAAAACACGTCCGCCTATACACATTCAATCCGCCGAAATATTTTTGCTCATCATTGTGCCAATTCATCCAAGCATATATGTACAGAAAATATGTATCGACACAAATAGACATGTGCGTGAACACTACACATATATTGTGTTTAGAAAGGTATGTAATGCCTGTGTGTAAATTCACCAAAGCGTGGAGACCGTTCAGTATAAATTATGTATAATATTAATCTGCATAGACAAACCGAGCGCAAGTGCAGTCTGATATCTATGGAACACTCACACTAACACTTCACAACTGCAACCAGGTCTGAAGCATGTATGTATGCATGCATGCATGCATTCATGTATGATGCATGTATGTATGTATGTATGTACATATATATGTACTATGTATTTATGCATGTATCTATGTATATATGTATGTATTTATGTATGTATGCACGCATGTATGTATGCATGCATGTATCTATGTGTGTACGTATGTATGTTTTTATGTATTTATGTAGTATGTATGTATTTATATATATATGTGTGTGTATGTATCCACTGTTATATATACGATATATGCATTTATGCATCATGTATGTATTTATCCATGCATGTATGTATGCATGTATGCATATATGTATGTATGTAAGCATGTATGCATGTATGTATGTATGTAAGCATGTATGCATGTATGTATTGTGTATTTGTGCATGTATTGTGTATTCATGTATTCATGTAGATATGTATGTATGTATCTATGTTTGCATGGACTATACCGACGGTACTGCCTCATAATCTTGCCTATTGCGCACTCTTTGTGTACTTGGCATGGCTACTTTGGTCTAAACCCTCAAGATATTGGCGATTTGAACACGCGTGACCCATACCATACATCATCGCGTCACGAACATTGAATTAAACACTATCGAACGTACAAATGTGATTATGCGATTTCAAGCTTATTTGTTTTTGTGCTCGCAAAAGTCACGAGCTTGCAAAGCCAGTTGCCAGTATCTCAGTCTGAATGCTAGGAGACCTTACTCTAACCATGGTCCGTTTCTCATCCGAGAAGGTGTCAATCGATTCGTACGTATGTGTATGTACATGGGTGCGAGCCCATGCAGATATTCCAGTTGAAACTATGCCTGAAAAATGTTACCAAGAATGTAGACAATCTCTTGTTAGCAACCTTTCCACCCTTCAGAGCATCTCTTGCGCACCTCAGTCTTTTGCATCCATAGGTACAACTCATAGTACGGCCTTTAATCATATGTCATTGACAAAAGGTTTCGACTACCAAACGGGCAGGAAGACGTTGACAAATTTAGTCCTTGCCGTCGATGTGTAGCTCTGCATGGATGTGATTCGTGATGGATTTGTATGTATACTAGGTTGTGGATCTGTCTTTTGGCCGCATCTTGGTTTGAACTACGTTGTGATCGTCAATTCTTGCTCATTGAGGGGCACGGCTTTCCCCTAAAAAATCCCGTCTCGAATGTCCAAATGTCATAACACAATTGGCAACCAACATCCACAATTTGTCGATTGTGTTTAAGCCTATGAGCCAACTTTGTAACATGAAACAAAAATGTTGCAGTATCACTTCAATGATTTCGGTTGTGATTTCGTTTGGATTCTTTTGCTGAATATTTGTCGTCATACAAGATTCTCTGAGGAGTATACCTATCCTCCACGCGAACAGCAGTAGCGTTAGCCAGTTATGGATGGGGCCATGATCTGCGAATTTATAATACTGTCTGGTAGTTCATGATGTCATGGTTGCGGACTAAAGGTCTTGTAAGCGTTAACTGTACACCCATGGTAACAGAATACACCTTACAGTGCCTCTGACACTATACTGAACGTAGCTGAATATATATCGTAGCAGAATATATATACTGCTGATTGTTGTACTGTTTTAAACAGGGTCAAGACCTCCGAAGGGCGTCTTCGTAGAGGATTCAGCTGCGTGCTGGACCAACGAAGATCACGCTTAGCTGTTGCAATGCAGACGACTGATAAGTAGAAGCAGTCTGGCACCATGCATCGTGTACTGTGCGCCCTAGGACCCTTCCGCAATCTACCATTAGGCTAAGCTAGGTCAGCTCTCATCCTGATGGACGGATCGAACATAGGAATGGCGTCCCGAATTGCTAGTTTGCTGCTCAGCCTTAAAGAGTATCGAGAAATTGTACCGGCTTCGAGTTTCGAGATCTGATTGTCTCTGAATTCCGGGGATTGACTCCTGATCCAAACTACTTTGGCAGACATGCTGTTCCTACTGACGTATACGAGAAACAATTGACGCTGTGCTTGCTTGAGTTGACTGCCTGATTAATCCGAACTCACCCTATTCGGTGTGGATTCCTCCGCAACGGGTGTAAGCGACCACTCGAATGGTTCAAGTCGGTCCTCAACGGGCAGCAATGCATTTAACTGCGTAAGTAGTAGAACAATGAGTCATAAATGCGGAAGGCACTCTTTTGAAACCGCCAAATTCCTGTCAGTTTTTCTGGCGCACACCCCTCTAGGATATTGCTTGTAAGAGTTTGGCACATTTGTGATCAATATGTATATATGCTTGGGTTCATATCAAACGGACATGTGCGCTAGTCGCCGAGTTCTAGCCCAGCCACAGTGGAATATATACGTCAGAGTTGCCAGGTACACATGAAAATCGCACGTTACCTACTATAAGTATAGTATATTAACCTTCACCTGAGTGTATTGAAGCCTGTCGCGGAGGACAGATACTCCGGTTTAGGCAATAAGCTCGCTCCTATCACCACATACAAAACTTTTCATTCAGATTAGGACTACTATTAGTACTTACAAGGCATAAATGATACATAAACAATGACGGATGTAACTTCAGTACACAAGATTACCTGCCCAACGGTGATGCGGAAGGCAGCTACCCTGGTCATATCGTGGTCATGCATTCATATACACGGGAGACATAAGTGTATGCGCATGAATACCTAATCACGAAATATCGATTACAGTATTATGCAAGGAAGGATTGAACGCAATGCGTTCAGTTTTACGGTGATGCGAAGAGCAAACACGCGCACTGGGACCAGCATCTTGCCTACTATAAACCAAAACTTCACACACATAACACGAATATCCACATGCCTACAGGTATACATATCACATATACATACAGCTCCACCCGTTCAAAAAAAGTACTGTGTGCGAAGCTGATGCAAAGTGCGGATGCACTCATTGTGGCCAGCAGTTTTGCTCACCGACTGTAATTCATCACTTTTGATACATAGCACGACTACAAATACATATGGATTCGTATTCGCGTTCACCAATTTGACACACCTTGTTGAGCCCAGCACTGATGCAAAGAGCTGACGCGCGCACCGTGGCCAGCAGCTTGCCCACCGATTGTATCTCCTGGGTGTGCGATCGATTCTGATCGAGAAGGCGGAGTGTGACACCGTACAGATCAAGTGACTTGTGAGCTTTTATGTCCACCAAGCGCATTGCTCCTGTGAGTACCTGGATATGACAAAGCAAAGAGATTTGATATGCACAGTCATGAATTATTCGACAATCCTGTGTACAGATACATCTGTGCATGCAGTTATGCACTTCAGGTTTCATAGATACATCCTGGCAGTTAAATATGTCCAGCAGATTTACTTGGGTAATGCTTAGTAAAAAGCATAGTAAAATTTAGCCTAGATCTCGCCCAACGCACGGATAACATCACACTCGTGCACTCGTGTACGAATCTGTACAACTTCACACATACGTAGGTACTCCTGATGAAGATGTATGTACGTAAAAACATGCCGATACACAAGCATATATCGCTATTGTAGTACAAACATGCCGATACACAAGCATATATCGCTATTGTAGCCGCACACAACTATGAACTTGCTGATGCAGATGCATGTGCCCCAAAAACTGAACACTGATTTGGCTATATGTATGTATCTGTTCGTTTGTACTGCCACATTATGTACACATAAAAGCGATATGCAGCACAGAAAATCGCACACCGTACTCTGTGAATATAATATATATATACCTAAGGTGAAATACGCTGATAAGAAAAAACGGCACGCATAAATACCACGGGACCAGATTCAATATAGTGTTGCAGTAAGATGCAGTAAAGGTACAAATTCTCGGGGCTCTGTAAAGGCTAGTACATTTTGTGAGCATCCTACCGATTGTGTCTTAACAATGCTCCTGGTCTCGGCTAATCGCTCTGCGTCGAGTATTGCGAGGATTCTGCGAAAAGAGGCAAAGCAGAAAACAGTATGTAGGTGGGCAACGGTATTGATAAGAAACTACTGCAGGAGCACGAGATGATTGATGAGTTGAGAGATAATAGTCAGCAATGAACTATGCATGAGAACTGAATTTGCGTAGACCTAAAATCTCAAGATTAGTTAGCGATTCACTTGACCTATCACTTCATTGGATCAAGTTGCCCAACTAATCGGTACACCCACTTTTGCTACTCAGGAGCCTACGGCAACTGGCTGTGACCAACTTGACAAACCTACAAGCTCGACATCAGCTTTGACCTGAATGCACCTAATTTTGCAGGAAATGAGGTGTAAGCTGTCTATACAACCGTAATGAGACTGTAATTGTCTTGGAAGAAACGTTATTTGAAACTTTTTATCCAAGTGCGTGACAGTATTTACATATACGAATGCGTATGTGGCTGCAAATATGGCGCAGAGTTGATGCGTACTCATTTGAGCCCTGTGATTGTCTACATCAGTAGTCGGACCCACATTCGCTTTCAATATTTATAAATACACCGCACAATTTCTATTTCAACCTTACTATTTTAACCTTTTTGCTGGTACAAACCATGTGTAGATGCGGTTTTGAGCGTTTTTGAAGTGTTTTGGGTGATAATTTATCGGAAAGCTATGTCATAACTTGGTGGAGCACTGACAAACATACAGAATGTATCCCCATATGACATAATCGTACAAAACAAAGCACACCTGTACAGTATATAAACACGTGAAAGAACATGTACATAAGTATAAGTCTCCTAAGATCAAGCACACCGATAAAACGCTACAGGGGATAGCTGCTTCAATCCCACAGCCTTCGTGTACTGGACAAGAGAAGGATTTCCTACTGGCTGTCCTGATTTCTTACTGCGAGGTGTGCTTGCCGGGGACACCTTCAGTGTTGGTGGTAGATCACGTAAAATTTGCACCGCTGCGTCGCCATAGTAACCATCGTCACGTTGGGCCACTTCAATCACACCATCATCTGTTGTGTGTACGAAGGTCTATTATGAAAACGGGTGTATATCAACCCAAAGGTTCTTTTGGTAGGTTCAAACCCAAAATAAAAATTGTCGATGGATATACGTACCATATATATATATATATATATATATGTGTGTGTGTGTGTGTGTGTGTGTATATATATGTATATATATATATATATATATATATATATATATATGTGTGTGTGCG